AGGTACGTGAAAAGCATGTGAAAAGACCGGGAATAGGGAGGGTTTTTCCCCCCCTCGGCCCCAACCAAATAGTGCAGGACCCCGTTCCACTTGTCACACATGTATGTTTCCAGCTCTTCCGACGGAAGCAATGGAGGCAAAGCTGCATCGGGCGCTGCTTTCTCTTCCAGAGCCGTTCCCATGCTCCATGGACCTGCCAACTGGTTCGTCAAAGCCGCTTGTAAATTCTTGCGAAAATGGCCATTGAGCCTGTACCTTGGGCTCGGGCGCCCTTTCCCATTGCCCAGTCTCCCGTATCCGCCGTTCCTGTCGTCCTCGTCTTCTTCTATATCTTCGTCCTCTGAAGAAAGCAAAATTCGCAACCTGTCAAGCTGTTGGACGGCTTTTTGATGGCCCGTGACAAACCTTGGTTCCACCCAGCTCTTCAAAGAGCTTTGTCTGACCCCTTCCGGCAAGCATAGGAGCCGCATGACGTACTGCTTGGCTAAAGGTGTCAGCGACTGAAAAACGGCGCGGCAGGTCCAGGGGAAGGGGGAGGCTGAGGGCGTGCACGAGGAGGAGGCACTACCCAAGTCTTCCAGGCCGTACAATCGGTCGAGCGAGATACGAGGAAGCGTTCCCAGCAGTTCGAATACGGTGGCCACGTGTGCGGATCCATCTTCCGTGCCATGAAGTTCAGGACGGTACGTGGGCTTAAACATCACCCTGACTGTTTGAGGGCGCCAGGAGGGCGCAGGGTCAGGCAATTTCCGGCGGCTTGACCGCGTCAATTAAGTGCTTGCGTGTCCACGAAGCCATTCATGTCATGTGCCGGTCCTGCATCCATGGTGACGTGGAAGAACGAAAAACCAGGAATGATGCATCGGTTAAATTCAAGACATACCGGAAAAACATTTTCCTGCACCAGGTGTAGCGCTGCATATCGTTAACCTCCTCACCCCCTAGCACAGGGGCAATTGACACTACCCGTTCCACAACATTATGCCCGCGAGCGGACAAAACATGATATAATTACATCCTAACAAATTTCTATATCTCCTCAATCAAAGCGCTTGTCTTGGCAGAAGCTGGTATGGCCCTCCGTCGCTGCCTTCCAAAATCCACAGCGGTCTTGGCTGTGGTAGGACTCCTCAGTATGTGCCTGTCTCACAGCACCGCCTTCATCCTTCCTGCTCGCACGCCTCAACCACCAAAGGCTACCAGCATAACCACTTCTACTAAATCCTTGGCCCCATCAAGGACCGATCCAATCTCAAGGAGCCAAGTGAAATGGTACCGAGTAGCCTCTGTCCTTGCCCTTATCCTCCTTCCCACTGCCCACAATTCCCCCGCCCATGCTTTCGACGCCAAGGGTGCCCGCCTCTTTGAGAACAACTGTGCAAGTTGTCACGTAGCAGGCACAAATATCATTGGGTGAGTGACGAAAACGGCGTACTCTTTTGCACACGCTTTCTATCTCTGTAGCTGCGAATGCGCCCCCCTAGACGTTTTCCCCCGCATTCCTCTTCGAGGGCTCACGCACCACTCCATTTCATTCTTTCTGTGCACCTTATCAGATACGCTCGCGGGAAAACCCTGAAAGAAGAAGCCCTCAGCAAGTACAAATTTAACACGCGCGCCTCCATCGTCAACCTCTTAACGGAAGGAAAAGGTGTCATGCCCAAGTACAGCAGCTACACGAGGAAGAACGGGGACGTGGTGCCGGCAAAATTGACGGAACAAGAGATGGGGCAGGTGGCGGACTACGTCTTGGAGCAGGCCAAGGCCGGATGGAAATGAGGGGAGGATGGAGGAATCCAGCCGCGTGGGAGATTCCTCGTTCCCTCTTCACGAGTGCGCTGGGCGTGATTTTTGAAAGGCTCGGTCGAAGCCTTGCCTTGTGTTGACGGTGCCCTGCCGAGATTAAAAACTTGCAATGGCAGCGTCCGCTTTGGATGGAATCGCTGAAAGAAATAACGA